CCAGAGTCCTGTCTGGGAAGAGCCACAACCCCAGCAGAGCCCATGGCACATGATGTTCCTCTGTTGTCCCCCCAGTGCTGGTGTCCTCCGGGCTGACAACGGGGGGCTCCTTCTGTGCCAGGAAATGGTGCTGGCTCTGTGGGGTCCTGCTGCTGGGGCATGTCCCCAGGGGGTCACAACAGAGGGGACCACCAGGAGGCACGAGCACCTTCAGCACCGGTTCAGCTCTTGGCTCCTTTGCAAAGCCTCCTTTAAGATGGATTTTTAAAGTCAATTAGAGCTGACCTTGTGGCATGATGGGAAAAGTGACAACATGCAGAATTGCATATTCATGTTGGTTGTCTAGATTCTGCCTTCAGAAAATAATTAGTCTAATAAATGGTAGAACTTCAACTTTGCACTATGTGTTCCTCTAACCCCCTGTGGGTGTTTGTTCCTCCCTGTCCCGCGGGCACACACGCCCTGGACACAGACATGCAGACCCTTGGCCACCGGCTGCTGCAGGGACACCCCAACCCTCCTGCTTGTGGGGATTCCCTGCAACCCCTGTCCCCGAGCACCCCCAGGCAGGGTCCCCATCCTGGGAGCCATCCACCCTCTGCAGGGGCCCTGACACTGGGGACCACTGGCTGTGGTCGGTCCCATGGATTCACCCCCACCTCTCCCTCCCCCCAAATTCATCCTGGCGGAGCGTTATCCCGCAGCTGATCCCACACGCCTTTGGAGGTGACATGAAAAATGAAACGTGTATTTTGGTGCTGGCTGGGGGCGTAGAGGGAAAGAGGGATCTTAACTCAAAGTGTCCTGCAGAGAGCTGAGTCTGGAGTTATCTCTCGTTTACATCTGCACTTGAAAAGAGCTCCGCTTCCTGATTTCCTCTCTTATTTTTCAGCTTCTGAGGGTTTTGGTTTCATTTAGCTCTGCATTGGCAATGACTTCAGGATCCCAGAGAGGAGGGTGAGAGCGGGGGAAGGCAGATCATTAAACAGCTCTTCTCGGGTGCCTTTTGATCTGTGCGGTCCTTGCTCAGATCGGGCAGGCAGGCGCTGCGAGCACAAGGTCCCCTGCTCCGCAGAGGATTTAGGATTTTTCAGGGATGGGAGCACAAAAAAACAGCCACCCGCGAGTGACGGGGGAGTCCCCGGGGCAGGGGCAGGAGCTCCTCCCTGCCCGTCCCCAAACCCACACGAGAAAGTGGAGGAATCTGGCGTCTCAGTGAGGGCAAATCAATGGTGGCAACGAAAAAGGAATTCAGAGATGACAGAATATCATCAGCAATATGAGGGGAAGTTCATTAAACCAAACTCATTAAAGTATTTATATCATAGAATCACAGAATGGTTTGGGTGGGAAGGGACCTTGAAGCCCATCCAGTGCCACCCCCTGCCCTGGGCAGGGACACCTCCCACCACACCACGTTGCTGAAAGCCTCGTCCAATAGAAAGCATTATTTTTACAATTTCTAGTAATCTTTGCATAATATCTGCTAATTTTTCTGTTGTTGTAATACTAAAAATATGCCTTTCTTGGCTGAATACAGCAAAGGGTAGAGAAGCTTTTATTTCCCACCACAATTGAGTCTTACTGCGTCAAACCTTTAGATTTCAGATGACAGTGGAAATTAATCGCAAGAATAAAATCTTATAATTGAAACTGAAATGAAAGTGAATCTTACAGATGGGATACTCGCTTGAACTTCAGTCTGGGTGTCTGAGGAATCACTGTGCATTTTTTAATTCTTTGAGTCTTCTCCATAAATGTTTTGACGTGCTCAGAAATTTATCTTCATTATTAAGGCTGCTAGATCATCACATACTGATGGGTTCAAAGTCAAAATTCTTACTACCATTTACTCAGAAATACGTTTCCATCTGGAAATCTACATTATGGGCTTATTTCTTGTATTAGTCACGAGGAGCAACAGGGCACAGGGGCTGGGTCCCCTGAGTCCTGGGGGTACTCGGGGACAACCCCAGGTCCCACCAGGGACAGTAGTTATTATCCATACACATAAGATATTTGGTACGAATACGGCACTCCTGCGATACATATTCTCTTCCTCCTGCCTAGAAGCCCTGGTAACTGTTCTTTTTAAAAGAAGATATTTATAGTTTTAGACCATATTGATATTTCAGTTAATAGATTCAAGACCTTCCCCTTTGCCGCTGTTTCTCTGCAGCCCTGCCCTTTTTGGCAGTACGTTTCTCTGTGTACGGAATTAAACCATGGCCTTAAAGGCGTAGGAGAAGGAGGAGGGACACCCTTAATTCTGTGCCTGTGCCCCGTGAGGGTGTTAGGTGGATTAAGAAGGTGCCTGTGACCAGTGTGAGCGTGTGTGGGTGTCTGTGCCCAGCCACCCCCCTGCCCGTCCAGGGGCGCTGGGAGCCGGGATGGGGCTTGGGCTAGTCCCACTTTTGGGGGGGGGCCCTGCAAACACTCCTCGCTGATTTACTGGGATCACACTAAGCCTCCTGCCTTTGGAGAGGAATTAAAATAATTGTGAGACATAATGGAGGAAAAATCCTTTAGTATTTCCTTCTTTATAATTCATATTTCTATAATATCCTTTAATTTCCTCTAAGCTCCTTAAGTGCCCCTGAGTGCAGAGCCCTTCCAGCTGTTTCATTGCTGAGGTGTGAAATACCTGGCGCTGCCATTAGGGATGGCAGGAGCCTCCGGTCCCTCTGGAGCAGCCCCGCTGGTGGTGGGGCTGGACCGGTTGGGATGGGGAGGGCTCTGGCTGAAAGGAGCTGCTCTCACTGCTGCTGGGGAGAAAGGAGATACTTGTATTTACTGTTCCTCTTTTGCATGGGAGTTTAGGGCAAGTATTACAATAGCATATTTATAGGAAAAAAAAAGATAACTTCTATTATATGTTCATTAACGTATAATAAATGTCCGCTGTTCCTTTGCATCATGTGCATTTGTGACTCTCTGCTTGCAAACACCAAGCGAGGAAACCACAGCTTTTGGGGTTGGGCAATTTCACTGGGTAAACGTAGAGCTTGGAACCTGGAGGGGTTCAAGGGCAGGTTGGAGGGGGCTTGGAGCAACCTGGTGTGGTGGGAGGTGTCCCTGCCCAGGGCAGGGGGTGGTACTGAAGGTGGTCTTGAAGGTCCCTTCCAACCCAAACCATTCTACACTTCTATGATCCTCTCTCCATGGTGTGGTACCAAATGCTAATGAAGTCCCTGTGGTGGTGGCAGAGCTGCCCGCATGCTGTTTCCCATGCCACCCACCCACCCCTGCTCAGCACGTGAAAAGTTAATAAAACATATAATTTAACAATTAGAGGGCTCATCCCCTGCAATGCAGGATGCTGAGGCTGGTGCTGGTGGGCTCCCAAAGCATTGCTGGGGGTGGGTCTTCTTCAGCAGTGGCACCGGGGTGGTTGCTTCCTCAGCAACATGTGGTAACAGCTACTAAATATTCTCCTTCCTGTGGCTGAATGATTTACTGCAGTACTTTATTGCCAGTTTTAATTTAAATATCACCTTAAACTTTTCCAGTTAAAACTCTGATTTTAACAACATATAATGCTTTTAAATCTGAAGGTAGGAAACAGGTTAAATATCTCTCTGTTGGCAGATTTGTGGATTATGAGGCAAAAGTGTCTGTCATGGTCACCTGGTTTGACCTTTTGCATAACAGGCACTTTAAAATTAAACCTGCAAATCCTCCCTGAAGCCCTTTCCCTTTGCCTTGTTTAGAAAAAAAATCCCTTTTTGATTTATTCGCAATTGTCTCATTTCTTCATAATGTGAAGACGGCTTTGTGTGCTAAGACAGAGTCCTCTACCGTCAGTTGAAGTCACCTTCTGAACATTTCAGAATAAAATGAATTGTTGATCTCCTCAAGTCTTTTCCTGCAAGGAGGTTTCCAGATGCAAATTATTCTGGTGAGTCTCCTCTCTGCGGCTGCTGACGTTCAGCACAATTTTGATGTGCTGGTGCCAGCACAAGTTCTGTATTTCACTGCAGATCTCACCGTGGAGGTGGATAAAGTTTTTCAACCTGTATTTTTTCCGCTTTCAAAGAATAAAAAGTTAAAACCAAATTAATGTCTGCTCTGCCAAATTGTCTATCAAGTGCGCTATTCACAAATCAAGACAATCTCAGAATTCTTCTTCAGGTGATTCTTTCTTTTTTAAAACGTTTTCTTTCCCACATTTATATTATAGAACATGTAGCCCCTATTATTTTTACTTTGGTCGCAATAGTGAATACTTTCTTCCAAGTCTACCACAAACATTTTAATGTTATTTTTCAATTCAGCCAGCTAATTTGATCTTCTGAAAATCAGTTTTTAAGAACTTTGTTTTTTATCTTCTTTCCCCTTGATTTGGGAGAATGACAAGCCTTTATGTCTAAAACAGGTAAGGTTTTATAAAATGGATATCAGGCAGAGATAAGTTAAAAAATGAGTTACCACAATATTGCAGATTAGATTTTTGAAGTCTGTCAAACCAGTGAACAATGAAAAATGGAGTGAAGGAGTTTCAGATTGCACCTGAATAGCTATTTGGTATTTATTAATGCTGCAAATCAGTGCAAATTTTCTGAAGAACCAAATTTACTAGCTTCACTTCTTCATTTGAATAATTACTGTCAATAAATCTCAATAAGCCACCATTTAGAGAGTAATTTTCATAAAAATCATGGCCAGATCCTCTGCAGTTATAAACTTTCCTGCCCAGCGTGTTTCCAGCAGCTGGCGACCTGCCTCCCCCTCTGCAGGCTCAACACGTCCGATGGACATCCCTCTCCCTGACATTCTGGGGTCATGGACTGAAAAGCTCCATGGTGGGCTCTGGTGATCCATCAGGATTTTACTTCCCAGCAGCAGCACGGATCGGCACCAGAAAGCGGCATTCCTCACTGTGGAACCTGCTGCCAGAAAGGTCCAAAAAAATGGCATTTGTGGACAAGCTCCTCCTGATGGATGGAGGCAACGCTACGCCATGAGTGCAGGAGCAGGCTCGGCTGTGCACACACACAGACCAACAGCACTGCCTTCATGGCCTTCATGGCCCTCATGGTCTTCACAGCCTTCATGACCTTCATGGCCTTCATTGCCTTCATGGCCTTCATGATCCTCATGGCCTTCACAGCCTTCATGGCCTTCATGACCCTCATGGTCTTCATTGCAAATGAGCTGCCCTGACTGAGAGGGTCAGAAAACCCACCAAAAATAGTCTGAGAAAGAAAACAAGGCAAAAATAACCAAATATAATTTTCGAGGACAATGCTCTGCTATGGAAAGAAAAAAAGTCATTTTGTTGACCTTTGTTTTTTCTGTCATGCCTGCTGAAATATTTGGGTATTTTTGCTTTTTGAAATGCTTGGACTACAAAAGCATGCACTAGCTTCTCTGCTGTTAATTTAAAAAATAAACGAGAATGGAACATTTTCTTTCTTTCTGACTAATTGCGTAGCAAATTGCTTTACAGTTGCGCCAGAGAAAGCCCATTCAATTTTTTTTTTTTTCTTTTCCTGTGTGAGAGATCTTTATCTCAAGATGCTTCCCAGGAAGGAATTTTCATAACAAGAGTCAATTAAGAGACACTTGCGGACTTCCAGGCCATCGGAGAGGTTACAGGAAAAAAAAGTGGGCAGCAGCGAATGTTGTGCGGCGGTGAAGGCGCCGGCGCGCGTGGCCGTTGCTATAGCAAATGAAGGAGCGTAACTAACCCCTGACACCACAGCCTTTCAAAATCTCTGCCGTTTGTTAAGGCTCTTTTGTTCCAAGGCATTCATTTTCTCTGTTTCTGTGGCAGTTTGCTAAACTGCTCCCAAATTATTGGCATTTATAGTGTAGAAATGAAGATAGATGTTAGGTATGATCTGTAAAAACCTTAAAGCAACGATGAGTAAATCTTCCGTGGCGTCCTCACTGGCACACGAGTACATTAATGCAGTGCTTGTGGAGTAATGGCAATGGTTTATTTTCTTTTGCAGATTAAAGGTGGATTGGAGCTCAAGGAGAGAGGGCACGGGCTGTCCAAGCTGGGAGGGTTCTGGTTTGGGGTAACATCTGTCAGGGTTTCTTCTTTCTCCAGTTTTATTGCTCTGAGCTCACCTCCAGACCGTCTCTCCCCCGGGTGCTGTTAACACCATTCCCAAGCCCACGCTTCTCTCCTGGTCTTTCTGGTGGTTTTTCAGCCCAACCTGCCCCAAACCCCCAGGAGCTGCAGGAGCTCGGGGGCTGCCCAGCCTTTCCAGGAGCACTGCCCTTTCCAGCCCAAAGAAAACAGCTGCAGGTGTCAAATACAAATATAAATACAAGCAAATATGTTGTTTTCAAAAGTAATTGCTATTTACTTTGCCTAGTGCAGGAAATAGATCAGGTCAAAACACTAAAGAACACATTATGTTGTTTGCTCTGGAAAACAGCAGCTTGCGTGGACCAGGAGCAGTTGGGGTTAATGGTCACTGGTTAAATTAAAAAAGCAAAAGCCAGTAGGCATAGATAAACCCAGAGTCTGCTGTCTGAAAGAGAATTCCCAATACGAAACAGTGAATTACTGCAACCCAAACTGCTATAATGCTGTAGACAAGAAATAAGCCAGTGAATGTATATAGAAATGTCTGCTCAAATCCAATTGAGGTAACAAACTATGAAACTGATGCTAAATTAAAGTGAAGGGAGCTTCCCACGCTGCTCGTTAGGAATTGGACTGATGAGGATTTGCTGGTCCAGCCAGCCCAGCAGCTGGCACAGCCCCAGGCGTCGCGGGCAGGACATTGAGGGTGCTGCCTTTCAAAGTGCAGAAACCCAACAGAAATTGGGTTTTCTCTGGGAGGGCTTTAAAGAGAAGAGACCTGTGCCCTGCCCAGAGGTGTCCACCTTTGACAAACAGCCATGGAGCTCTGGCGCTCAAGCAGCTGAGCTGAGGCTGAAGCTGTATTAAATCTTGACATTTTAAGAGAGTAAAATAAATAAAGAATTGCTCACCGTTTCACTATCGCCCAAGCAGAACCCACGCCGCTCCTAAAGCCAAAGAACAGCAGTCACCGTATAGAGGGAAAGCTCCCACGAGTTAGTCAATTGGGAAATAAATCTAAAAGTCAAGCAAACCAGCAAAATATTGAATTTGTTTGAAAATGAGCACACTGTAGCGGTCTATTTCTCCGAGAGGAGGTTGATTATAGCTGACATCTTGGGGCCTCACAGCCACAAAAGCTCCAGCTTCCAAGGATTTCACAGAGCTCCTGAACCTCCCCCGTGCCCCCACGTCCCACCAGTCCCTGGGGAAATCTCCCTCTTCCCTGGGAACTGGGACCTCTTTGGTGAGACACACCTCTGGGGGTTTCCTCCTCTCGCCTGGCCGTGTCCTCCTTTACTACAATATTTCCTTTTCAGCTGTTCCGAAAGAGCGACTCTCTTCCTTGAGTGTGTTTTGGTCCATTACAGGAATAAAGCACTGCATGAAAAAGGGATTACATGCCATGGGATCCCAGCAGAATTCGTGTTAAAGTCTGTGTTTATACTAGATTTTTCTTTCTTTCTTTCTCACTTCTTTAGATTGTGTCAGATGTCTATAACACAGACACGTACCACACCTCTCTGTGTGCATATATTTCAAGAAGGTTTTGAATGCCGTTAGCCCCAACCCCCATCCCTCCCCACCCTCAAACCTTCAGCTTCATTGGAGACTGCCATCAGCTGCTTTTGAAATTATAAATCTAAAACTACAGCTGGAGAACAAGCATTTGAAATCTGAAAATATTGTGCCTGTAGGACTAATTATGCTTTTGCAAACTTTATCAAAACATTGCTGTTTGTTTAAAGTGAGCAGCACAGGAACGCCACCGCCATGAGTGACTCATGCGGGCAAACAGCTATTTGCTGCAGAAAGTGACAATTAAGAGCTTGTAATGGATTTTGGTTGTTTTAGTCTCTCTACCAGGACAATGCAGACCTAGAGACACCGTAAGCACCACAAAGGATTCTGAAAACCCATTCCTCAGTTCCATGGGGACCTCTGAGCCTCCCCTGAGGTGCACGCTGAGGGTCACTCACTGCCCAGTTCACCCTCAGCTCTGGAAATGGGATGGTGATGGTGCAAACCTTCCCATGATGGAAATAGAAAGCACATATTTTGAAAGTTCCTTCTTTTACTCTTGCAGGGAAAAAAGCCCTGAATGCACATGACCCAGGTGAGGGGTTCCTCAGGTGTGATGGAGAAGTGCTGCCACCTCTCCTGGCAGACGCACACCCGGTGGTACAACACCTGAAAGTACCAGGTCAGGGCAAGAGGGTAATTCAAATTAGTACCTGGATGTGCATTCTTCTATTCCTTTCTGTCTAGTACAAGGATGCTCAGGATGGACACCCCCAGGCTGGGTTGTCATGGCCACATGGTCACAGGCACGCGAGCTCCCACAAACCTGGGAGCTGGAGCTCAACAAATTTCATCTTGCAGAAAAGTCTCACTCTTGTCGTTGCCTTGTGACCTGGTAAAAGGGACAGAGGACAATGTCCCTGATCACAGGGGATTGCTGCCGGATAAGTGCATGGTGAGCCGAAGAAGTAATGAGAAGAATATAAATATCAGTTACAGAAGGAGATGTTACTAGACTCTTGTGGCAATTTCCTATGGTAATAAGCATCCAGGAGGATATTAAAAATGTCATTTGTGCTTTAAAAGTAATAATAATTGAAATAGATTCTGGCATCTTCTATAACAGCAGGGCCAACAATTATTACTGGGGATATATTAAAAGAAAACAAACACATTAAATAATTAGTTAATTGAATTGCCAATATGCTGATGCTGCTGAAATTAATCTGAAAAATATGAGATTAGCAGCATGGTTTTGCACAATTATAGTTGGCTGGAGAAGAAATTAAGCAGCAGAGTGGGATGCGTTGAGCTGGAATGTGGACTCAGTGTGGGCTGGGGGCTCCTGGGCACCACGTGTCCTCCCCAGGGACAGGGGCTGTGGGGGTCCCTGCCACAGGCACATCGACCCAGGACTGGGCTCAGGGAACGGAGACCCACCGTCCTTCCCTGCACTCCTGCCTGGCATCCGCTGCCGTGAGCAATGCCCTTCCTTTCTTCAGAAGCTGTGAGTTACTACTCCATAAACAAACTGAGCTTTAAATATCTTATTCCTGTTTTTACAGCTGTAGAGGTACAAATATAATGTAGATTTTGAAAACTTAGGTCCTTGGATGGGAAGAGGAGAAGCTTGAGTCAGCTCCACCGCCAGCCTGTCCTTCATCTCCCGTGACCCTGCCCCGGTGAGAACCACCCCTGGTGGTCACCACAGCGTGCCTGGTGGTGATGGCTCCATCCTGCTCCAAAGGGGTCTCGGGGGCACAGGGAACAACCTGCCACCCAGACACAGGTGGTAACAAAGGCAGTATTTTTGCCGCCCTCCTCTTCCCCCTAAATCACAATTTTTTAAAGCCTCGAGTGCTGTAAACATTACCCTCTGGGGTCTCTGCCCCTGTCTTCTCTCCACGGGGGCTGTGGGCACCCATCGCTGTGTTCCTTAGAGACATCCGCAGGCTGAACTGCTTTTCATTGTCATAATGCACTTAAAGGATATTTTGTTTCTTTAAGGAAAACAGCTGCATTGTTTATTTCAGACCTGAGGAAGACAGGGGTGCAGTTTATTGCCCTCCTGCAGGCAGCAGGAAGGGTAATGTCTGAGGAAAACTTACTCTGCTGCACTTGGCCATCTCTGAGCTGGGCAGGAGGAGCCCAGAGCTAGGAAAACAGCTGCATTGTTTATTTCAGACCTGAGGAAGACAGGGGTGCAGTTCATTGCCCTCCCGCAGGCAGCAGGGAGTGAAATGTCTGAGGAAAACTTACTCTGCTGCACTTGGCCATCTCTGAGCTGGGCAGGAGGAGCCCAGAGCTCTGACAAACTTGTCCATCATAGAGTGCCAGGTAATACCCAGTGTGTGTTGTCCTGGTTTGAAAAGAAATAAAAATACTTTGAATATTTTTGGTGTGGGTGGCTGTGCAGAGACACCACAGGCCACCTTCCTCGGGTGCTGCCATGGGTCCATGCCCATGGTCCAGCACCACAGCCCCACTCCTGGGTTTGCCCCGTCTTCTCCCCACGTCTCTGCTGGCGCTTGGCACATCAACACAAGGCAGATCTCCTGATCCTGGGATGCGGCGGGTGGAAGAAAGCCAGTTTCTAACATCCATTCCGTGCCAGCTGAATAGCACGGGTGAAGGCAGCCAGAGGGAACCTCACTGCTCTGTGCTCTGTCCCCTGCCCTGCCTGCTTCCCCCGGCGCTAAATAAAGCACCAAGGTGCTCTGAGCCCCACAGCAGAGAGCTTGCCCACATGGCATTGTGCTCCTAATTGTAGTTTTTTATTTTTGTTCAACATCAGCATGTTTGCCTCGCAAGAGAGTTTTTACCTTTTATCCCTTTTTTCCCGTATTTTTTCACTCCTGCCCGTTCCCAGGCAGCACTGAGACAGCCAGACCTCGTCTGAGTGGGCTCCTCAGGCTTCGGTCCCCAGGTGCCCGTCCCCGCCATGTGCTGCTGCTCCCCTGTGCTCCCTTTATACAAATTACAAAACAGACCAGAAACATCTTGCTCTGCTGTGTCTGAAGACATAACCATTATTTCCGACTGGTGTTCAGAGCAAACAGAATTTCTTTATTACAACTTATCAATCCGTGCCTCTTGTCAATTTTATGAGTTTTTAAAATAACATCTAATGTTAACTTGGCAATGAATCCGTCTTAAGACACACTACCCACTCACATTTTATTTCCTCTATTAAAGGAAATGATGTATAAACACCACGGGAAAGCATGGATCAAGCTCTTTAGCATCGTACCTAAGAGGCAGCAAGGGGAGCAGCAGGGGCTGCGCAGGGGGAGGGCCCTGACCGTGTTCCTCAGGGCTGCAGGAACCAGCAATTATTTTATTCTGATCCAGCTGGACAATAAATGGGAACAAACACCCCATTGTGGAGAGACTTCATTTTTGGTTTCACCATATTTATAGAGAATGGGTATTGCTCGCCTTAAAAAGTCTGTTCGGGTCAGACGGTTATGCTTTAACATTTATTTTATTTTTGCAGCTTTATGGTTACACTGTTGGACCCTGATTCATGGGTGACCTTCATGCATGAACCCGACTTAAGGCACAGAAATAGTCCTATAGATTTGAATTTGAACATTGATTATGGTGGGGTGGAAGTCAGTGTCAATAAAAGTAATGCACAATGTGCCACCGCCGTTCTCAGCAGCACAACAATGGAATTACAACTGCCTCGTGCCACAAAAACCAGCCCACCCCCTTTTTGTGTTGAGATATGGATTTTAATCACTCTCAAATACGCTGAAGTTCAATGAATTCTGTTTTTTCCTAACGTACAAATCCACTCAAAAAATATGCGGATTTTTTGCATTTCTAGAGCTGAGAATGTCAGCGGTTCAATTTCATTCTCTCCTTTAAGAAAAGATTTCTGGAGTGGGCATAACACCCACTTCAGGCAATTTTGCTCTCAGTGGCCACACATATTGTCATTCACAAAAAAAGGATGTGTTTAACCTCTCACTTCAGAAGAGATCCTTTTGTACCATGAAGTCTGATTAGTTGTGACACAAACTATGTTATCTATGTAATTAAGTGCCCTCGTGGGTCAGTCCATGTTGGGAAGGTGATGTGACCCCTCATGATGAGTACAGAGGAGAGGAGCAGCACAGCCGAGGGGAGACGAGTCTCCCATGGCTGCCAGGCTCTGCCTGGTGGGAGATGCCACACACGTAGGGGAATTTATCTCTTTACTCTGCAGACGCTAATTACCTGCCCAGCCCCACAGGGAGAGGTGAGCTGGGCGACCCCGTGGAGCTCCTGCCCGGGTTCAATGGGGTGTGGAGCATCAACGGCTGCAACCTGGTCCTCCACAGGGTCCTGGTGGTGCCGCTGGGCCATGAGCGATACAATGAGTGGTGCCACGAGTGATGCCACCAGTGATGCCATGAGCGATACCAGGAGTGACACAAGTGGTGCTGTGCATCATGCCATGAGCAGTGCCATGCGTGATGCCACCAGAGATGCCAGGAGTGATGCTGTGAGTGACACAATGAGTGATGGTGTGCATCATGCCATGAGCAGTGACATGTGTGATGCCACCAGTGATGCCACGAGCAATACCAGGAGTGACACAACGAGTGGTGCTGTGCATCGTGCCATGAGCAGTGCCATGCGTGGTGCCACCAGCGATGCCAGGAGTGATGCTGTGAGTGACGCCGTGCGTGATGTCGTGGGCGCTGCTGTGACTGGTGCTGTGAGTGATGCCATGAGCAACACAATGAGTGACACCCTGAGCGATGCTGTGAGTGATGCTGTGAGTGCCAGCCACGCCGTGGCCCCGCTCCTCACCGTGTGGAAGCGTGCACGTCAAAGCCCTCCACTTTGCTAACTACCAGAAAACCCAGAATGGGACATTTTCATTTTCCCTGCCTCCCCCACAGGAACGGTCGCTCCTTCAGTGTCCAAATACTGAGCCTTTTGTGGCTGGAGGGGTTGGCTTTGCAGGGGAGCACCGTGCATGCAACTGGGGAGGAAATCCTTGTTTTGAGTACTGCTTCAACCTCGAACCGTATTTGCGAGGCTTTCATGTGTGAGTGTTTGGAGAAAGTGAGTACAAAAGCAGGGTAAACACAGCTGAAGCAAATTCATTAAACATTAAAGCAAATATTTGCAGAGATTTTGGTTTGCAGCCTCTACACATTTCCAGAATGATAGTAATGGAACGTGGGCACGTGTTCAGCTGGCAACGGCGAGACGAAGAAAACCATCATGAGTGCCGAGGGGAGAGGGGAGGATGGCAGGAGGTGGCTCCTCAGGCCACGGGGGTCCTACCTGTCCCCGGGGAACAGACCCCAGCAGAGTGTCACATCCCCTCAGCCCTTAGCTCCTTGTTCACTGCAAACAGGAGACCACCCCTTGGAGTGGACCAGGAGCCATCCCCAAGACAGAAATTCGTATGTGGAAGTTTGGGGAAATCAGCTGTGGGGTGAAAGAGCAAAGGAATCAGGGCTGTGACCGGCAGGGCCAAGGGTCTGGGGGGCAGGGGGTCCCGGGTGCCCCCCCTCTCTGGGGCAGGGAGAGACAGCGGATGGGGAGAGGCCAGAGAGGGAGGGGAATGGTAACGGGAAAAGAGGAAGGAGGAAACACGGAATGGACTAAACTCTGCTGAAAAGTACACAGGTAAGTACGCAGTAAATTCTCTAATATTTACAGGCTGGATCAGCTGGCAGTCAGCTGCTCTGCATTATTTCAGCCAGCAGTTAGTCAGGAGATATTATTTCTGCTCTGATGGAAGGACTGAAACTTCTGAAACAGAAGAATGATGGCCAACATTATCCTAAACAGTTTGTTGGCTTTTTTTTTTCTCAGCTCTTAATTGCAGCATTTGAACACATTCGAGGGATATTCAAATTGTCTCAAAATCTTTGAATAGGTGACACATGGGGTGGGGGAGGAGGGGGAGGGCAAACATCATCCCATGACTCAAAAAAATACCAACAAGGCAAAGGCTCCAATGTTCCACTATTTTTTGCTTTACCTTGAAATCCAGCCTGTATTTTGGGGCACGGAGAGCGTTTCTGGTGTCGGGGTGGTGAGCAGCAGCCCCCTCTCACCACAGCTGGGGTGGTGCCATCTGCCCCAAACCTCCCTGTTAAAATACACACACGTGTCATGTACCTGCTCTCAAAGAGGCAACAAACGTCTGCAGCAGGGGCACATGTGCTGCCACTGGAGACCCCTGCACCAGGGAAAATAAACGGCTTGATGTCAAAATACCAATGGATATTAACGAGGATGGCTGCCCACCAGGGTACCCAGCACAGGTTTTGGCATATATTTCCCTTTAAAAGAGGGACACATTGGCCACTGTCAGCTCATGTTCCCAGGGCAGAGAGCCCAGGGGGTGCAAACACAGTGTGGGGAGCAGGGGCAGAAGGGACTGTGGCCAGAGGGGTGTCCCAGAGCGTTCCCCATGGCTCTGCTCGAGGACAGACCCCTGGCAGTGAGTTTTTGGGGTAAGATGTGGTTGGAAGCACTGCACAAAATCAACAGCTTTTCAGTAAGCAGGGAGAAGCCTGAGTTATAGAAGGCGAGGTAAAGCATTAACTACCCCTGTTTCAGCATTCGATTTAAGTGACTTTGAGGCACACAATGAGCTGCAGGGGGGGTTGCAAAAAAACACTTTAAACACTAGGGTGGTGAAGTGCAGAGGAAAGGGGGGCTGTTCTTCCTCTGCTCACCAGAGGCTGTTGTGCCTTGTTTGTATGTAAACGTATAGGAGGAGAGTCATGGGTATGAATTATCTTTACCATGGAAAGCATTTTCGGATTGAACTGATACTGTGGGAGCTGAATAACTGCTCAGCTTTATCACGTGCTATTTTGGAGATGGCTTTGGCTGAGCAGTCATTGGCAAATGTCTAAATGGAATTCTTAAAACGTGTAACTGTCCCAAATCTGCCGAGAGGGTGGCTACGGCACCACCTGGACGTTAGCATTTCCTACTGAATACTGTCCAAACAGGTAAAATTGTTCAGGCTTCAGTTGCATTTTTTCTTAGCTTTTCGATTTTAACCATATTTTCAGCAATTTTATTTACACCTGACAAATGCAATCTCCTTCATTTTACTGCCTGATTTTACTGTAAATCCTGTTTGGTCAACGAGGGGAATCCAGAGGGTGCCTTTTTTTTTGCAGCAGCTGTGGGGAGCGGGGTGAGCAGCCATCCCTGTGGGGGGTGGGCTGCGGGGGGGTGAAGCCCAGGCTCTGCAGAGCTCACCCCACTGCTCTCTGCTGTGGGACGGGGATGGGGGTCAGTCCCAGCATCACAGGAGATGGGTCTCTGCCATACGAGGTGGCCTTTGCGCAGAGCAAACAACGCCCAGGTGTGAAAAAGGAGACTCTCACAGGGCTGGCAGGTACCGTGTCACTCAGTTTTTTAGTATGTATTCATTACATACTGAATTCATCACTCATTATCCCTGCGGCAGCCACACAGAACCCCCCCGCACCGTCTCCTCCGACGCTGGGGTTTCTAACGTACCCTCCACCCTCATCTCCGTCGGGTCGCTGTCACTCTGCACTGAGTTTGCTGTTGGGGGCACACTCGGTGGAGACGCGTTTCCCCTCCTGCTAAAGACTCTGAATAAGAGGGGAAAGCTGGCTTTTTTTCCAGCTTCAAAAGCAGTGACCCAGGGTCCCTGCAGAGCCTGGGCAAACACCGCCCTGGGGCCTCCCCAGGCCGATGGTACCGCTGTGATGGAGCACTGGTAGAGCAGGTGCCATTCATCGAGGTGAGACCCTTCACAGCTCCACCTGGATGGAGACCTGATTTAATTATTATCACGGCAGCTTTCCGGTGGGAAAAAAGAAACTTGGCTGCTGCACTCAGCTCCAGAGCTCAGTACCTTCAGATAGACCCTCATTGACCCACGTCAGGTGTCTCAGGGACCCCTCTGGAAGACCTGCCAGATTCGGGAGGTGCAGAACAGGCTTTTTCCCTTGCACTGAAGAACGGGCAAAAGCACAGCAGTGGCTCCTAATGGGGCTGCACCCTCTGATATCCCTTCATGCAGTGACTTTCTGGAGGAGGGAGAGGAATGGCTTGTTCCCACGTTACTGTGGTGGGACCTGTGGGATGGATGGGGGCAGACACACCCCCGTGTCCCGAAGATAAAACACCGACTGCCTCCATCAGCAGCGGGTCGGTGCTTACTTTTGCTGGCCTGCCTTATATGCAAAAGTATAATCCCTTGGCAACCAAGACTTCTACATTTTAGAGCCTTAAAGTGCTGCCACAACAAAGTACCCATCCTTTTCCAGCCCAGTCAATCTTCTAAGAACAAAGAAAAATGAAATTATAGAGTAGTAGCAGTAATCTTATTTCAGTTAATGATCTCATATAATAGCTTGTTTGTGACAAAACTCATCTCTCTCCCCAGAACACCGTTCAGCCACTAACCAGTGGAATCAGGATCGGTTGCTGGAATAGGAAAGAACATGCTCTTGTTTGCTTCATTTGAATTTCTCTTTTAATGTGTCGGTAATATCTGCAGTGCCCACTGCTGATGTAATATAGATCTAATTCTCAGCTCATTTAGTTGCTGCCTCAATAGGAAAACAATGCCTAGTGGGAGTGATGATTAGAAAGCAGCAGCAGAGATACGAAGCATGGATAAATGAAATAAATTGCATAAAAGTTACTGATGACATGATCTCTGGCCACATCAGTCAACTGCTGCTCTGAGGCACTAAATTGCTGCTGTTTGTTGTTGGTTTTGTTTTTTGTTTTTTTTGTTTGTTGTTGTTTTTTTTTTTTTAAGTGATAGCCACATTATAAAGCAGCAAAGAGGAGGAAAGCAAACAAGAATGCATAATACACCCTCTCCTCCCGACCCCGGTGCCACGGGAGCACCAAGTGTGGAGGAGACAGAGTTATAAAAATGAATTGCATGGAGCATGCCTCTCAAGCTGTTATCTGTTATTTATAAAGAATTAAAATGAGCTAGTTATTTCACATGTGCTAGAAAAATGAGTTCATCAGTATTGTGCTGAAATGCATTATGACTTTCTGATTCCTGATTTCATAGCTGTTGTACTTATTTGAAAACATATTTATATGCTTTGTATCAACTGCTAACCATTGAATTTTTATTGTACATTACAGAGAAAAGTCTTATGTTTCAATTTGCATCTCACTTGATTCATTGACATACAAATACATAATTCTGGTCTTGTGTGATTTACTCGGGAAATATCTGTTCCCAGGCTTTGAGCACATCCCTCCCGACGTGCCAGTTCTGGGATGTCCCTCTGGGAACTGGACCTAGCACTCCAGGTCTGGCCCCACCAGCCAGGTTGGATGGTGCTTGGTTGAGGATGTTCCTGCTTATTGCAGGG